GCCACCTCTATGCCAAGGAAATACTTAAGATCACCAAGATCTTTGATCTCAAATTCTTTCACTAGATGCTCTTTTAATTTCCCAATTCCTTCCAAATCATCTCCAGTCACTATGATGTCATCTACATATACTAGCAATGCCGTTACTCCCCCTGAAGCTGAATGTCTTACGAACAATGTGTGATCACCTTGACTTTGTCTAAATCCAAGATTTAGCATCACATTGGTAAACCTTCCAAACTAAACTCTTGGGGATTGCTTGAGGCCATACAAAGCCTTTCTTAACCTACATACCTTTTGTTCTCCACTTGTAGAGCCGAACCCTGGAGGAACCTCCATATAGATTTCTTCCTCAAGATCACCATGTAGGAAGGCAATCTAGACATCAAATTGCTGCAGTCTCCATTCAAAGTTGGCTGCCAATGACAGTAACACTCTCACTATGTTCATCTTTGCTACCGGGGCAAATGTCTCAAGATAACCTATGCCATAGGTTTGTGTATAACCTTTGGCAACTAACCTTGCCTTATATCTTTCTAGTGAGCCATCGTACTTATATTTCACGGTAAAGGCCCATTTGCATCCAACCGATTTCTCCCCTTTCGGCAATTCCACCAAATCCCATGTCTTGTTTTTCTCAAGGGCCTCCATTTCCACCTTCATGGCATTCCTCCAATTCTCATGTCCTAGTGTCTCAGGTAATGTTTTAGGAATGGTAATGCTGTCAATACTAGAGAGAAAGGCTCTATAGTTATGAGATAGCTTGTTATAGGTCATGAAAAGGTATAAGGGGTGTTGGGTGCAAGTCCTAGTCTTTTTCCTAAGTGCTATAGGAACATCAAGGTCAACTTCTTTATGGATATCTGGATCTTTGGAATCATAAGGAGTAGTTGAAGAACTTACCTCATCAGTCACCAGGTTTGATTCAGATGATTGGACTTGTATCGGTTGAGATAATGGCCCTTTCTTCCTTGAATAAACTTTAGCAAACGGCTCAAGACGATTCTGTGTACAGGAGGAGCAGTTTCGGCTTGGACAGGAGCTGTTTCGAACTGGACAGGCTGGACAAAAACAGCTTCGGACTGGACAGGAACAGTTGTGACAGGCTGGACAGGAACAATTGTGACAAGCTGGATAGGAAGAGTTGTGACAGGCTGGATAGGAACAGTTGTAGGCTGAGACGCATGCAGCTCAAGAAGAAACTTATCTTCCATGAATGTCGTCTCCCCCTGAAGATAAGGAGTGTGAAAGTATTGGTCGTCCTCAACAAAGGTAATGTCTGCAGATACATAAAATTTTCGAGCGGGAGGATGATAGCACTTATAACCCTTTTGAGTAGACGAATAGCCAACAAAGACACATTTGGTAGCTCTTGGGTCAAGTTTACCCCTATTTTGAGAATGGACATGAACAAATGCACCACAGCCGAAAATTTTTGGAACAAGATTGTTGGAGACATTAAAATTAGGATAGAATTTTGCAAGGACCTGTACAGGACTCTAAAAATCAAGTACTCTCGTGGGCAATCTATTTATGATGTGGGCTGTGGTTAACACGGCTTCTCCCCAATAATTTTTTGGAACATTTTTCTGGAAAAGGAAAGCTCGGGTGGCTTGTAAGAGATGTCCATTTTTCCGTTCAGCAACCCCATTTTGTTGAGGGGTGTTGATGCAAGATGACTCGTGAATAATGCCATTTTGTTGAAAGAATGGGGAGAGAGTTTAATTGAAATAATCTCTAGCATTGTTAGATCGAAATCGTTTGATTCCCACGCCAAATTGGGTTTTAACCATATTAAAAAACATTGGAAACACAAGACTCACATCGGATTTGTTTTTTAAGAGGAAAATCCATGTCATACGAGTATGATCTTCAATAAATGAAACAAACCAACGAGCTCCAGCAATATTGGGAACTGTAGAAGGCCCCCAAATATCACTATGGATAAGAGTAAATGGAAATAAGGTTCTTTTAATGCTTATTGGAAAAACAAAACGCTTGTGTTTAGCAAGCTCACACACATCACAATGAAAGCTTTCGACATCAATTTTATTGAATAATGAAGGAAACATGACTTTAAGAACATTGAATGATGGATGACCAAGACGACGGTGATGAAGCCATATTTTGTCTTTATTGGTTTTAGGTGACTCGGTGAAGAGTGATAGGGAAGAATCATCCTCAAATTTATGTTGTTCACTAGGTCTTTCAAGATAGTAAAGGCCATCTCTCTCCCTAGCACGTCCAATCATCTTCCCCGTACCTAATTCCTGAAGTTCACAATGAGAGGAATAAAAAAATCACACTACAATTAGCATCTTTGGTCAGCTTTTGGATAGACACATGATTGGTGAATAATTTTGGGACATGAAGAACATTTTTACGTGTAAGAGATTCACTAATAAGAATATCTCCCTGACCAGGAACAGTAGTGACTGAACCATCGGCTATGGTGATTTTCTTATTACTAGGACAAGGTGTATATGAGATAAATTTAGTGGAGGAAGAGGTCATATGGTATGTGGCTCCTGAGTCCATTATCCATGTACTATGAATAGCATTATCCGAGGCAATAAGAGCACAAGGGTTGGAGGATATACCTGATAAGGCCAGGTTACAAGTACCTACCGCCGTGGGTGACTGTGTCCCCAAGAAACTCTTCAATCTCTCAATATCTTCTTTGTTGAACTCCAGTGATGTTTCTAAGTTGTTGTTGCTGTTGTCGGTAGTCTGTACTCCAACCATGTGAACTTAACTTTGTTGTCCTCTCACTTGTCCATTTCTTCCTGTCCCGTTCTTATTGGGAACTTGCGGCCTACCATGAAGTTTCCAGCACTTCTCTTTGGTGTGGCGAGCCTTTTTACAGTAAGTGCACCATAGGTTGTCTCTGTTTAAAGGCTTTGACTGATATGGCTGTTTATTTTCTTCAGTAAGAGACTGTTCTAACATGACATTCTTCTCACTTGTTGTTCTTGTCACCAATGCAGAGCTCTCAATAGAAGCATTTTCCATCATGACTCCTCTCCTTCCTTCTTCGGCCCGGATTATAGATATTGTCTCATTAAGAGATGGCAAGTCCTCCTTGCCAAGAACTTGAACTCTCACTACATCAAATTCCATATTAAGACCTGTCAAGAAATCATAAATTCTGTCTTTTTCAACGAACCTTTTAAGAGTGGCTGCATCCTCACTGCACTTCATTTGGATGCATTGATAATGATCCATTTCTTGCCAAAGGCTTTGCAATAGACTGGAATACTCAGTAACCGTTCGGCTTCCCAGTTTTGTTGCAGCAATTTTAGTTTTGATCTCATAGATTTGTACAGCATCTCGAACCTTTGAATACGTTTGTGCGACTGCATCCCAAATCTCCTTAGCGGTATTAAGAAAGATGCACGTATCGCTAATCTCTGGAGACATGGAGTTCCAAAGCCAAGACATCACCATCGAATCTTCTTCATCCCACGCATCAAACATCGGATCTCCCCTTTTTGGACCGGTACCAAGCAAGTGGCTCAGCTTTCCTTTGCCCTTTAAGTGTGTCCGCACCAGTTGAGACCACTTCAAATAGTTCCTTAGCGGTATTAAGAAACATGCAGGTATCGCTAATCTCTGGAGACATAGAGTTCCAAAGCCAAGACATCACCATCGAATCTTCTTCATCCCACGCATCGAACTTCGGATCTCCCCTTTTTGGACCGGTACCAAGCAAGTGGCTCAACTTTCCTCTGCCCTTTAAGTGTGTCCGCACCAGTTGAGACCACTTCAAATAGTTCCTTCCATTCAGCTTGTGCATTGCCTGAATATTAGGTAGCTCTCGGACATCATAGCAGCTGTCGTCGGTTGGGCTGAACCCCGGTTACTTGAGATTCAGATGTATGACTATCTCCAGCGTTTTTTGACATGATTCAAGCGGAATGAAGAGAAGAAAGACAGCGAGAAAGAAGGCCAGGAAAAAAAAAAAACAACAACTTGCAATAAGGTCAAGACAGTGAATCAATTGACAAAGGAATAAATTCTGGAATGAGAACCAGAATCGATTGACAAAGGAATAAATTCTGGAATGAGAACTAGAATTGATTGACAAAGGAATAAATTCTGGAATGAGAACCATAATCGATTGACAAAGGAATAAATTCTGGAATGAGAACCAGACTCGTTTGACAAAGGAATAAATTCTGGAATGAGAACCAGAAAAACACAGCAAGGATCGATAAACAGAAGCTATGAAATCCCTAGAAAAAACTAAAATCCCTAGAGCTCTGATACCATCTCAGAATTCGGAGTAAATAAGATGATGAAAATCGATTAAAAGTGTCTAATTACGAGGGGCTGTTTACATGTATATATAATTACACCATAAGGACTAATTAAGGAAAGAATAAACAAGAATCTCCTAATTTACAAATTAGAGAAGTCAACTCTCCTAGAATCTGGAAACAATAAAACCAGAAACACAATCAATCAATTACACAGTTTCCTAAAATAGGAAAAACGTGTTCTTTCCAACACTTATAAATAGCTTATAAATTCCGCGTATTAATAATAAGAAAATAAGTAATTTTTCTTCTAAAAAACTACAATTATTATTATTATTATTGACGTATTTTCCTAGATGACAAGCAAGAAAACGAATCCCCCATCCCAAAAAATAAAAAATAAACAATAAAAAAAAAACCATAACCGTATAGCATTCAACAAAACCTTTCATTTCGGCATTTCATCAAACATGTTGAATGCCAATGCCAACTAGAAGCACAACTCTTGAAAATGTTGTACAACTTAATAAAATCGTTGGGGAAATTAAGACAAACAAGACCAAATATGAGAAAAGTGAAAAACGAACATCCGCCCATTATTGGAAAGCGACCAACTTGGGAGATTTAACAGAGTAAAGAGTAATTAGTTTTTCTTTCTTTTTTTTTTTTTGATAAAACAGAGAATAACGATTCAGCGTGCATTTAATAAACCATTAAAAACCGAAACAGAAAGCTTAGTTACCAGAGGGGTTTTGAGGCGAGAAAGACCTTCGGATCGCCAAACTGGGTAAATGTCGAATGGTTTCAACAGCAGCAACAGCTTCCTCATCGCCATTATTCTCTCCCTAGAACCGGCTCTTTGGGTTACGTAGTTTGACAGACAGTGGACCACCGCCTTCTTCTATGTAGCCGGCTATTGACCCAAATAGCCGGGGCTGGGCGGGACACATCCTTCTTTTTGCCCCTCGCTTTCTTTCTTTCTTTCTTTTAAAAAAAGAAATTTTTTCCGATACGTCAGCAGTTAAATAATTTTTTATCTATTAAATTTATATAAAATCACGTAAAAATATATAGATTTAACAATTAAAAAAATTTATCCTATTGATATGCTAAATGTACTAAAAAATCTTCCACATAAAAAACATATATTTTAAAAAAAGATATTAGAGCAAAGTTCGGTCAAACGCTTAAGGCGGCATATTTTTCACAATTTGAGTCAAAAAATTCTAACTAGAGTCAAGATCCATTCAAGATAATTTGTGCTTATGCTTTTAAGTAGTAGAAGAAAATAAACATAAATTGATGCTTTTTTATTAGTGTTTGGATAGTACTTGAAAAAATATTTTTATATTTAAGAATAGTTTTTGACCTTGTTTAAGTAAAAAAAAAAAAGTCAAAAACACTTATAAAAAGTAATTTATTGTTCATAAATAAAAGGTTAAAAATATAAATAACAAAACTCTTTATAAGCATTTTTTTCATGACCAATAAGGAGATAACTTATTTTAAAAGTGCTTTAAAAATCATAAGCATTTTAAGATTGTCCATCCAAACATGTTTAAAAATGACTTTTAAACTAAATAAAACAAAAACAGCTTTTTTTAGCCAATACAAACGGGCCCTTAAAAGCTTTCAACTTAAATTGGTATTTGAGAACAAGAGTTTGGAATATGATTCAAGTTAAAAATCAGTTCTAGTTGGTCAAATAAAATCGGAGTTCAAGTTCCTTTTGAATTCATTGATTCCAGTTAAATGAATAATACATTTTCCTCTTTAACATGTCAAAACTTTTTTGTTTCATCTGTGATGAGACGATTCTTTTCTCTGTGTATTTAGAATGAAGAGACGAACAAAATTACATCCATATATATTATTAAAATCCGTCATCTTCATTGAATTTTTGTGAGAATATTATTGAAATATAAATTAAAATTTTATTCTCATTTTAAATTATTATTTACCTATTCAAGCACTAGTTTGAATCGTAATTCCAATTTCATTAAGCAAAACACAAAAGCCTTGAGAACAAAAATAAGTAAAAATCAGAGTTCGAAGTAATTACCTTAAGTTTTGTATTGAAGATTGTATCTAATTCTTCCTCTCCATTTGAGGCGATTTATAACACAATAGGAATTAGAGAGTTTGATTCTTCTGTTTATTATAGAGTTTTATTATTTCTTTTATTACAAAAAAACTTTCACCTTTTGGGCGTTACAACTGATGAAATACTTCATATGCTTTACTCATCGGTCCCTACTTGTTTTATATTATCATTGTTGTTGGAGTAAAATTTCGTCCAACACCCAATCAACCTTCTTAGACTAAAAACACAGATCAAACGAACTAATAATCTAAGAAAATTGGATAAACACTTTAAGAACATAAACAACCTAGAAGAACAAATACAAAATGTCAGAATCTCAAGGTTCTTGTATTGAAAATTGAGTGTCTCATTTTCCTCTCAAATCGAGGGAATTTATAGTACAATGAGAATATGGAATTTAATTCTCCCATTAATTCGAGAGTTTATTCTCTCTTTAATTACAATGTAAAACTCTTCATCTCTTAGGTGTTACAATTGATAAAAAATCAAATCAAATTTACTTTGGGTCATATACATTTAATTACCGGCCGTTATGCTACTTGGTGTTGCTATATGACCTTTGAACTTCCCCTTTAATCCTAGCATTAATGCTCAAACACTCGAACAATTGGATAGTCAGACAATCGGACACTTATGGGATGTTTAGTTGGAGGATTCAAACCATGATTTGAATCATAGTTTATGGTTCGCTACAGTATTTTCTCTCACGAAAAATTTACGTAAATTAAAAATAATTCTAATCACATGATTTTAATCCATGAACCAAACGTCTCCTTAGATACTTGGACGCTTGGATGCTCAGATGTTTGGACACCCGGCCCATTAGTGTTCAGACTTTGTACAAGCCACGTGGCATAATGCCACGTTGCAAATATATTATTGTAAAAATCTCATCCAACAATTATTGTACTACTTGATGACGCTTTGTGACTTTCAAGCTTCTGCCTTTAAGCCAAGATGTACTCAAACGCTCAGACACTCAGGGGGCGTTTGGTAGAGGGATTCGTTCCCTGATTCGAATCATGATTCGTGGTTCGCTACAGTATTTTCTCTCATAAAAAATACACGTAAATCAAAAATGATTCGAATCACATGATTTAAATCCTCTAACCAAACGAACTCAGTGTTTAAACGCTTAAGTGTTCAAGTGCTCATATGTTCTGGTTCTTAGACTGCTACAACGTCTGACGTATTGGTGTTTAGATGTTCCATGCGGCATGTGGCATTATAATGTCGTACATATTATTGTAAGACATTGCATCTAATATCTCCTCCTAGTCTTCCAGTGTTGCATGCCAAGCGAAAGAGATTATAGATTTTTACAAATATCTTTACGTTCAGTTCAGCCAAACTAAATTCTAAGTCTAAACCTGCCGAGCAATTTTATATCTAACGGCCTACTGGACTCGCTCAATTAAGATATACGTAATTAACTTCACATTATTGTGTTCAGTCATGTTGAATTTATTTAATTCGAATCCACTGAATCAACTTCTTTTTTGTGTGTTTAGCCATGCTGAACTTGTTCAATTCGAACCTATCGAATTAACTTTTTTTATTGTTCAGTCCTGTTGAACTTGTTCGCCTTAAACATGCTAAATTAATTTTTCGTTTTTAGTAGGTGGTAACTTAATCTTATTCTCTGAATTTCGACAAATTAATCCTTAACCTATTAAGATATTGGCAATTAAAATATTTCCATCCATTTCGTTAAATTTCTAATGGATTGTTGCTTGTGATCCGCACATACATCTCCTTGTTGATAAAAAGTTGACTTTGCATCTTTTTTATGGATGGATAGAGTTGATTTTGCATTTTTTATGGATGGGTTTATGGGATTTATGTTTTATATGAAGGTTGTTACGCATGAAAAGTCATTAGAGTGGGGAACAATGCAAATGACCTAGGTTACTGGAGAGATTATTTGTAACACATTAGGTTAAGAACGTAATCAGGTACCTAAATTGTAAAAGGTAAAAGTATAACAACTTGGTTTGACGTGACCATTTCTTATACATATTATTAACTTAATTACTTAGAGCCCGTTTAGTTCATTGATTCGAGTTGAAATGTGACTTTTTATGAGAGCTTTTTACTATAGCAAAAAAGTTAAATGTGATTATTTCTTAGAGTTTTTTACTGTAACGAAATTCAAATTCTAAACTCAAATCTGTGAAGTGAACGATGCTTTAAATTTGTAAAACATTTTTCTAAAACTTGTTTAATTTAAAATTGAATAAATAATAGTATAGTACTAAAAGTCATAATTATCAAAACATATTTTTATGGAATAAAAATACGCATTACTAAGAATGGTGTCTAAAAAGTATGAGATGCAATAAGATATTATTTAATAAAAATAGATTTTCTATTATTTTGTGTGCATGTATTATTAAACTATTGAAAATTTCGTGATTATTTATGTAACCTTAAATATTATAAATGTATGTAACATTTATATATAATGTTGTATATAAGTGTATATACAATATTTAAGGTTATATTAATATTGTATATAAGTTTACATTTTTTAGACTATTAACACTTTGTATATGCAGGTTTTTCATCAAATTAATGATTTTGATACCAAAGATACTAAAGGAGGAGATTGTTAGTATTGTTAATCCTACGAGGCATTTGTGGCCTGCGTGAAATTTGTGGCTTTTTGTTGGCAACCTTATATCAAAATCAATTTATTTATTTGTTGCTGATTTTCATAAAATTTTCATTTTTACGCGATTACAATTTGTTTTATTTGTGTTGACTTTTAGGCCGCCATTCGATTTTTATCATAGAATTATTGTGCTGATTTTATATGATAATAATTTGGTTAACTATTTGTCACAATTAATTTTGTGGTTATTTCAATTTCAGTTTTTGTGGATTGATCCATGAGCACAACAATTTTATCAGAATTTTTTGTTCAATTTCGGATCTAATTGAAATTATAATTGATAACAATTTAATTAACAGATAACGAGTTGTATGTCTTGAGTGTTTTGACAGTTGCAGGATTCAAGTACTCTAATAAGCAAGTTGTCTGTTCGCACAATGTAAAGGATTTTAAATATGTTCAAACGAGAACAACTAGAATATTGAGAATACTTAAATTAGAAGATTTTTTGCAACTAAAATTCAATCTAATGAGGAGATTGCAATCAAATTTCAACTTTGATTAAGTGGAGAAATTTTAGCCCTCGCTCATATTGAGGTGGTTCATCATTTAAGGAGGTCACATTGTGACTTTCGCTTCTTTGAGCATTTATTTGTGAGAGAAAATTTGGGTATTCTCATTTGTACTCTAGAGTGAGAGAAGACCAGAGTTTTTATTAGGCTTTATTTGTAACTCTCAAGCTCTGTAGTCTATAAAATTTGTGAGAATCAAAAGTAGGTAGGAGGAGCCGAAGGCGAATCGTGACGCTCGGAGTAAAGTCGGGAGGACTGAAGGCGAGCATCGTACTTAGAGTAAGTCAAGGGGATTGAAGGCGAGCAGATGATACGGAGTAAGGTGAGGAGTCTGAAGGTGGTGAAGAGTAGTCAATGTGAGTTAGGAGTTGGTGTTGATGTGCGATGTTTCTTGTAAATTCAAGCTTTGTAACTGCATCTGGTGATAGTGGAATCCTCTTTTGTGCTGGTGTGTTCAGAGCACGTGGTTTTTTTCAAAAAAAACTTTGACTACGTTAATTAACCATATCGTTGTGTTCATTTCATTTCGCAATTTTACTTTACACAACAATCTTGGTTTCTATTTAAACACCGTTGATCTAACTGTTTTGTGCACACAAAATGTCAATATTGTGTTTGGCAGGTCTTACAAAATTAAATACATTGGTGCACCCTATCTAACTGTATTTAACAACTTAGAATCCAAGCTTTACATTTTAACAAATAAGATCCAAAATTGAAAAATTTATTACAATTATGGTCCAATAGTTAACATACTTCAATTAATAAACGGAAATTGTGTAAGTTTTTTAGATAAATACATCCCAAAATTTTTTGTTGTTGAGAATTTGGACTCTCAATTTTTTAAAATATAGCATTATGTATCATTATTACTGTTACTCTATTGATTAGACTGCATTGTCAAAGATTGTAAAAGTTAAAATCTTAAACACAAAAAGATAACGATATGTTCAAGGTGCAACATGCAAATAACGATATGTTCAAGGTGCATGAATCCAATTTTCCCTTTCTCTAATTAAATTTTAACCTCAATTGCAAGAAAAAAAAAAATTTAAATTAAACCCCAATTAATATGGGTACAGGATTTTCGGACCTAACCCATATTTGTCTGACTGAAACACACGGTCCTCCAAAATCCAACCCTAAAATTACCGGATTATCGGATCGGGCTCCTCTGAAGTTTCCAGGAAACAACAAACGTTTCTTCAGCAATCTCTGTAAGACCCATTTCAGTTTTGTCGTCCATTTGCCATTATTTTTAAACTCCCTTTTTCCTTTGTTGCGTTTCACTCGTTAATAGAATTTGTCAACGTAATTATCGGTAGTTCTGATGAATTTTCGGTGTGATTCGTATGCTGAATTGCGGTTTTTGGAAGAAATTGCAAGTGGAATGCTGAATTGAAATAGTTGGGAAAAAAAAGAGAATGTTTTGGAATCGACTTATTTACCTCCATTGAATTTAAAGTGTTTATAACCTTTTTTTTTAAGCTTTTGTCGATCTGATGATTATATTTATGGTTGCTATTCAATTTATACACAGATTCTTGTATGTTTTTCTTTTGTGGTGGCTTAGGGTGTTTCATCACTGAAGATTATTATGGTGCCGTTTGATTCACAGCCTAATAATGAATAAAAATGAAGATATTTACTCAATTCATTCCGCCCTTTTCCTGATAGGAAGAAATAGAGAACAATTTATGTCTTAACAAATTGCACATAACACATAAAGTTAGTGGTATTTTATAACTAATCGATTGAGCAGCAGCTTGTAGACCACTTAAAAAGAATATTTATTATTTCAACCGTATCTTGACATAAGAATGCCAATGGGAGCAATACTTGAAATGGCAAAGCCATTAAAAAAAATACTGATATTGAGATCCACTAAAACAAGGTGAATCACAATTCAAATATTTTTGTTGTAGTTTTTTTTTTTTCTCACAAAAATTTGAATTTTTGTTTAAACTTTTTGTTCAAACTTATGACCAAATGTGCAATATTATGCGATAATGATGTTCGAGATTTTAAAGATTCATCCTGTCAATTCATTTGATAATTGTATTCTGTGGCTTAGTGATTCTTGTATTTTCTTACTTGATTTCATATGAATGTACAGCATTCGGTTAATTTCAAGCCTATGTGATGGAAATACCGAATGATTCGGGTATTAAGAAACCAAAAAGGTTGACCTCTGTCGTGTGGAATCATTTTGAAAGGGTCAGAAAGGCTGACACTTGTTATGCTGTTTGTGTCCATTGTAACAAGAAGCTCAGCGGGTCGAGTAATAGCGGCACGACACACCTGAGAAATCACTTGATCCGGTGCCTGAAAAGATCTAATTTTGATGTGTCCCAACTACTTGCAGCAAAAAGGAGAAAAAAGGATACCACTATTAGCCTTACAAATATCGGTTACGACGAAGCCCAGAGAAAAGATGAGTCTATTAAACCTTCAATGGTAAAGTTTGAGCATGATCAGAAAAAAGAAGAGATACTCAACTTTGGTAGTAGCAAATTTGACCGGGAATGTAGTCGATCTGATCTCGCCCGTATGATTATATTACATGGTTATCCACTTGCCATGGTTGATCATGTTGGATTCCAAGTTTTTGTCAAGAATCTTCAGCCAATGTTTGAGGTTGTCCCGAGTAGTGATGTTCAGTATTCCTGTCTGGAAATTTATGGGAAAGAGAGAGAAAAGGTGTTTGAGCTGATGAATAGATTTCATGGGGGAATTAACCTTTCTGTGGAAACGTGGTCTTCTCAAGAAAATGTCGAGTATTTGTGTTTGACCGCACATTATATTGACGAAGAGTGGAGACTACAGAAGAAGATAATGAATTTTGTTACGCTTGATTCTTCTCATACAGAAGACTTGCTCTCAGAGGTCATTATTAAGTGTCTAATGGATTGGGATATCGATAGTAAGCTGTCCGCTTTGACATTTGATGATTGTTCCACTGATGATGACATTGTTCTGAAGATTAAAGATCGGATCTCTGAGAACAGGCCTCTCTTGGGTCGTCAATTATTTGACGTGCGCTCTGCTGCACATGTTCTGAATTCAATCGTGCAAGATGCCATCGAAGCGCTACAAGAGGTGATTCAAAAGATTCGAGAAAGTCTCAGGTACGTAAAAAGTTCACAAGTAACGCAAGGGAAGTTTAATGAAATTGCACAAGAAGTTGGAATCAACAGTCAGAAGAAATTAGTTCTTGATTATCCTATTCAATGGAACTCAACATACCTCATGCTCAAAACAGCCTTAGAGTACAGGGCCGCATTTTCTCTCTTGCAAGAGCATGACCCTGCATACATGTCTTCCTTAACCGACGTGGAATGGGACTGGGTCACTTCCATCACTGGTTATTTGAAACTCTTTGTTGAAATCACTAATGTCATTTCGGGCAACAAATGTCCAACTGCAAACGTATTTTTCCCTGAAATTTGCGATATTCATATCCAATTAATTGAATGGTGCAAGAGCGCAGATGATTTTCTTAGTTCTACATCACTAAAAATGAAAGCCAAGTTTGAGAAGTATTGGAGCAAATGCAGTTTGGCTTTGGCAATGGCAGCAATTTTGGATCCTCGGTTTAAGATGAAGATTGTGGAATATTACTATTCTCAAATCTATGGCAGTAATGCTCTGGATCGGATCAAGGAAGTTTCTGACGGCATCAAGGAACTTTACAACATGTATTCGATTGTTCCAACTATGGTAGATGAAGGGTCAGCTTTACCTGGCTGTAGCATGACTAGTAGTAATGAGACTGGGGACAAACTCAAGGGCTTTGACAAGTTCCTCCGTGAAGCTTCTGAGAGTCAAAGTTCAATATCCGACTTGGATAAATATTTAGAGGAACCAGTCTTTCCTCGTAATGGTGAATTCAAAGTGCTAAACTGGTGGAAGGTCCACACCCCAAGATACCCTATATTGTCTATGATGGCACGCGATATTTTGGCAACTCCAATGTCCACAATTTCACCAGAATTAGCATTCAGCACAAGGGGCCGAGTGCTTGATCAATCTCAAAGTTCATTGAGCCCGGATACTCGGGAGGCTTTGATTTGCACACAAGATTGGTTGCGGGTGGAACCACTTGGTACTTGAGCTATTTCTCTATTTAACATCGCCTTAAATTTCTTGCACGTTGTACTTTATCTTATTCTAATTGATTTTATGCCATCAGATATCAATCCCCTCGCGATCCATACAGCTCGACCGCTTCTTATCGAATCAAGTTAATCACTCCTTGGTATGGTTGTTCTTTCTAAAAGATTCTCATGTTGCCTACATTATCTCTTGCCAATTTACTGATATTTGTATGATGTCCTTGTCTTGCAAGGTTGAGGAATTTGCTAAGACACTCCACATTACTCTCTGGTGTGGTCAGTGAAGCCCCCCATTTTCTTATACCTTAGATAAAAATATTGATAGGTTTTGCAACTTTATTAATGTTATTATGCAGATTAAATGTAAATTTCAGGACACGACCAGCTAGATAGACTGTGCTTGAAATGGAAAACCCGTCTTTAAGTAAGAAGGTTGTGTAGATTATGCTTTTCATTTCACTATGACTCTAAGAGGGCTGCTTTCCCATCGCTGGCTTAAAGCCTTTCCAATCCTCTAGTTATATCTTGTTGACCGGCTTCGTAGGTTGTCCTAAAAATGGGGGAAAAGAAAAAGTAAAATAAAATTTTATTCTTGACGTTTCCCCGGCTTGAAATTTGAATCCGCGGCTATTAAGGAACTTATATAATTTGTTTTATAGGTCTGAACAGAAATGCAAATTTTTGTTAGTGAAAAAAAAGTTCAAGCCCATGAAATAACTTTTAACAATTGTCATAGCTTACTCAGCAGAAATATAAGTGTGAGTTTGTGTGGTAGCAATTGATTGAGACCTTGTCTCTTCCGGAAGAAAATTGAAAACTATCCTATTAGATGTTAGTACTTTGTTTTCTTTGAACACAAAATAAACAATTGAAATCATAAGACAAACCATTTTGATATTTTAATAAGTTTATTTATTTATTTATTTTGAATGTATTTATCTATTTATTTTGGTTTATATGAATGCATAGCGTTTCAAAATTCTTGGAATGTGTAAAACTGAAATTATTTTATTTGTCCCATTTTTTTATCCGTTATTTTAGTTTCATAAAACTAAAAATGAATCATTGTTTTAAATATATGTAACATTTTCCTTTAAAAAAATTAAAACTCGGAGACTTCTTTTTTTTTTTTTTTTTGGGCTAAGAACTCACAGACTTGTTTGCTTGCACTTTTCTATACTATACTATCTTCTGTTCATCAAGACATTGAGAACAATTCCCACAAAATATATATATATATATATATATATTGAGAACAGTTATTTAGGTGACATTTAATTCATGAATCTAAAATCATTTTTATGATTTTAATAGTTGAATTTTATTTTTTTTTAAGAAAAAAACTGTAATAAAATTAAGAATTATGCTCTTAAACTATACAGAATTTTTAAAATAAACATCACTTTATTTGTTGAATACAGAAACCAAAACAAATCCCATCAAATCTTGAGCGCTGCTACTCTGTTTTAATTGATCAGGGTGTCTGGAGTTCATTTTCAAGGATGATACACAGCAAAACTGGAATCTTATTATTCTTTTTTTTTTAAATCCTATCTTTGTATCTTATTATTATTATTTTTTTAAATCCTATCTTTGTTTGGAAGTTGACTAGATATCAAGTGAGCATACGATACTCTTACGTAGAGCACTCTTATATCATATTTATTTTGATGGGGTTAAAATCTTGATACCGATACAAAGAGGGTCTCGTTAAGTGAGTAGGTGAAATCTAACTTGATGGGCTCATTATTTTATAAGTGATGAGGTTTATCCTAATAGGAATAAATATTATTTATTTCCTACATATCTTATAGGATAAGCTCATATTATACACAAGGCAGGTCTCACTAAATATGTTAAAATAGTATATTTGATTAATTGTTTTACTTTGTAGTTAAAAATATAATGACTTTAAATCTTATTTATTTTTCTATTAAAATTCTAAATTCTGAATTTCGTGAAAGATAAAATTCTAATTTTCAAAGGTGAAAAAATGGCAGTGTCATTTCTTGAAAAAGAAAAATCACAACGTTATAATTTTTGCTGATCAAATGACAATGGTATAATTGTTAAGCAGAAAAGGCAACACATTAGGCACAAGTAACTAAATGTTAGAATTTATCAATATAACATATAATCGATAATAAATTTTGACGTTAATTACTAAATATGTTATTATGCTGTATTTCATATGGCGCTGCATTGAGATTGAAGAATGATTTATTATTATTATTTTTTTTTAAATCCAATTGGGAAATTGTGATATTGACTGATTTCACTAGAGATGCTCTAAGGAAACCAAATTCTTGCGCCAAATGCAATGTATTAATTGATGTGGTAACTTTCTATCCACACAAACAAATTCATTTAAAGAATTGATCTCCTGTCTTAAAATTGCAATTCTTGATACTTCTAATGCACAGAGGAAAAAATAATAATTATAAAAGCTCTTCTGATGTATGCTAGTATGCAACATTTAATTCAAAATGTGTACTGAGTTTCTCGTTTGTAACTATTTAATCATTTAATGATTTTAAAATGTCGTAATATTGGGGTTTGAGTTTGAGAATATGACTGAAAAATAGCTGAAGTTGAAAGTTTAATGATATCGAAAAAGAAGATTAACTGGTGACATTTGGTAAGGGGATTCGTATCTTGATTCGAATCATGATTCATGGTACGTTACAGTGTTTTCTCTCATAAAAAATACACGTAAATCAAAAATAATTTTAATCCCATGATTCTAATCCATGAACTAAACGTCTTATACAAAAATTTCAGACTATGGCGGTTGAAGGTGTGATCTTTCAATTCATTGTTTCTTTCCTTTTTTTTTTTTTTTGTTTCAAAATATGGATGAGAAATGATTGTGGAAAGCAGTATAGGATAATTGAAATCACGTTCTTTCTTACTTATCAATTGATAATGTGCTGATGTTTTCGCGCGGAAAATTCACAAGATGAAACTACCGGAGGACTTCAACGAGATCGAGATCGAATCGAATCAAAACGAGCAATTCGTTACCCAACCTCGAATAACATGTCATTTCAATATCCACCTTTGAATATATTAATCAAAGAACCACACGTGTCATTTTCTACGAATAATACGAGGGAATTTCTCTGATAATTTCTATGAAGAAATTCCTTTAATATTCTCAAAAGCCCTATATGACATTTTTTATCCTCAAGAATAGGCTAAGGGATCCCATTGAGTAATCACATTAAGGGTCTGTTTAATTCGCTGACTCGAGTTTTATAATTCGAGTTGAGATGTGATTTTATGTGAGAACTTTTTACTGTAAAAAAAAAAAAAATAGATGCGATTATTTTTGAAATTTTTTTACTATAACAAAACTCAAATTCTAAACTCGAATCAGTGAAATGAATGGAAACTAAAGGGTTTTTGATTTGAGCGTCGATGGAGTATACTCCTCACGAACTGAGAGCGATGGAAAATGGGAGAGCTGATAGAGGAACATTCATTAATGTTGTAAAATCCACACCATTTATTTTTTGTTCTCCTTTGTTACGAACCGTGTGGATATGAACTTGCAATTTTTTCCGAATTTATTATTATTATTTAAAGAAAAAAAGTCCGTACGGGTCTCAAACTTTAAATAAAAGAAAGAAAGAAAAAAGGTTCTCGTCTAGAGTAATGGATATCCTGTACACCGAGAAGAAAGGTAATTACATCAATGACCCCACATGTTATAAAGATTCTGGACCATAGAATCTTAATCCAAATGTTCCTTTAACGTGCATGAGTGGAAAAGAACAAGAGAACACAACACTTGTAGTGCCCCCACCTTGAGCTAATTTTCCCAAAACTCTTGTAACTTATAATGGGGATTTCACACACTGTCTGTCGACTGTCTGTATTTCCTTGGATAAGTTATGAGCTAATTGTCCCTACAAATGTGTCCAAAAATGCCTACGCCCACTATGGCTATACGAATTGCAAGCGCATCAAACAGCCAAGATTGATGGAGAGAGAATTTCTCTACGAGAGCTCGAGTTTAATTAGAATTTTGAACTAAATTATTAGTATAAAACAAACTCAAAATCTCATATACATATATATGTTAGCAAAAATATGGATAATATAAAGAAGAACAATATATATATAACAATTTTTACAAGAACAAAAGAATGAAATTGTTACAACACAAATTTAACATTTCTACCAAACTCGAAAAAAAAAAATGAATTGGCAAAGATGTCGAGGCATGTGAACTACGTTTTTTTTAAAACAGATTCGTCAATTCCGGTAAGTGCTTGAGGTAACATTGGATGTCCGTCTCCTAAGATATAACGATAACGACGATAGCTCTATCATTAAAACCGAACTACAAAGAACTGTAAGAAAAACTCAAAGAAAATGAGAGAATTGAGTAATATATGTAAGTAGTATAAAACAAACTCAAAATCTCATATGCATATATATATATATATATGTATTTACTATTTATTTCTTTATTTTTTTTTATTAATTTACACTTTTTTCTTTCATCCTAGAGTTATATAACTGTATTGTATTCAATTTTTAGCTATTTAGATTTTTAAGCTTAAAATAATGAATACAAGTTAAAGAAATGAAACAATTTGTATGTTGTATGGATATAAATGAAATTTTTTAAAATTATTTCGCTTAGTTTGAAAATGTTTAATGGGGCTATTTGGGCACGACCATGTTGGCTATAATGTTGTTACTATTCGTGCCCTGGATCTTGTTTTTATTTTGATTTATTTTATCTTTGTATAACAGGATTGGAGGATTTAAACGTTAAGATCTCCATGACAGCCAAGAGGAATGTGGAATTATTCGTACAGAAAAAAAAAAAAGACGGAGACAGAAAATATATTGCAATGCAAACAATTAGGTTTCATTTTTTTGCTGAATAACCAACAGTAGTGATCAAAGGGGCCATCGCATATTAAGATCCCGTTTATTTCACCAATTCAAATTTTGCTACAGTAAAAAATTCTTAAAAATAGTCATATCTAACTTTTTTACTACAGTAAAAAGTTCTTACATGAAGTCACATCTCAACTCAAATAAAAAACTCAAATCAGCGAACTAAACGGGCCCTAAGTATTACTTGCATTGAGCAAAAACTAATCAACATTAACCCCATAAAGACCTCAAGAATATTGATTTTTTTTTTATTTTGAGAAAATCAAGAATATTGAATTGGTAGCCTAGTCTCAAGCACTTCATATGGAATCTTATTTGATCAAGCGTCTATCAAATTAAGGGTATGCATCAAACTTAAACCAATTATTAACACACGAAAACAAAACTAAACTAAATCAATTTACTAAAGGGTTTAATTTGGTTAATTTTTTTTTAAAAAAAAACCAATTAAATTGGAACGGTTCATGGTTTTATTTTTAAAAAATCAAACCAAATCAAACCAATTTTTGTTTATGAGTATTTTACACATTTTTTTTTTGAACTAGTATGGTTTTCACAACTTGTCCCCTGAACTTTTAGTTTTGGTAACTTGTCTCCTCAACTTGTAAAATTATTGTAAAATACCATATTTTGATGATGATTGTGCTAAATTAATGTCGAAAAGGCACATTCGAC